AGAACTGTTACTGAAATGTTAAATCTCTCTGAACTATATTATGTACATAGTACACAAACGACTTATAATGTTGCTTATGACAATGTCACCAAGTGAACAAACACAGAAAGTAATGTAGCAAATAAACCAAGTGTTTCCAAAAATACCACTACGCCAGAAGATAATAGTATAATTGAAAGTACCAATGATAGAACTATACTATCAAGTGTATGGAAAAAAATGACTCTGCTCTACAGTCTATCTCTAGGTAGTTTCCACCAAGAAAGCCAAATATTTAGTTCAAGGTCTAGAGGTGTACAATGTAATGCATTAGTTTGTTTATGTATATTACAAGGGCAAAATTCAATGACATTCAATAATTTACCAGTAGATTATATTCTCTGTAAAGGAGATTAGCCTGTATCACTCTGTTGTGACTGAATTGCAACATAATAAATATGCAAATCCTCAAATATTGATAAGTGAATTGCCTAGTAAATTATTACGAGTATACTATTGAGAAAAGAGAATGCTATACAGGTATGAAATAGACTTGCATGATGACGTGTTTTGTACACTGAGCGAAGCTACTAGTAGAGCTTTCAGGAAATGTTCTACTATTATTGTCATTGTTGGAGGTTATAGCTTGGCATTATTTGAAACACCACATGGTAATTGTACCATTTTTGATTCACATAGTCATGGACCAAATGGATTGATACACCCAGAAGGCAGAAGCATGGTGAAGTGCTTTCGCACAATAGTTGATCTTTTACAGTTTTTGTTTGCCTTATTTGATTCTGGCATATTGCAAGAGATGAAGCATTTGATCTTCAATGCCTATCAATCTCTTGTAAAGATACAAGTGCACAGAATTTATTAAACCAAAATCAATTGATAGCCAATTATTTTAAGTTGCAGGATAAGCAGAGCTTGTATAATCGACAATATAAACGAAAACTGAGAAGCAACAAACTTTTCAGTCAAAAGTAAGCTTCATCTCAACAAACTCGTGAATGTAAGAAATTAGAATATAAGAGAATTGAATCTGAAAGTACCGGTAAGCATAAAGCTAGGCAACATAATGAATTCAGGATTGCAGAAAGAGAAATGGAGGCCAAACTTGAACAAAAAGCAAGACAAAATCCCGGATATAGGAAATTGGAAGTTAAACGTAAGCAAGATGCCAGGCAACCTGATTTGTTTAGGAATGTGGAGAAGCAAAAAGATCGTGGTCGTAAACGCCTAAACAGATTGCAGGCAAATTTTAGCTTGAATGAACTTCAGACTAAACGTTGAAAAAGACAAAATGCTGCATATAAAGAAATTGAAAGAGTTGCAAAAGCTCGGAGATGATCAAACGCCATTGTCAGACAATTTGAAAATGAGTGTGGCACACCGAATAGCAGATATACAAAATAATCCAGAATACATGAACATTCTTGGACCCATTTGTATATGTACATGCTGTCACTAGACCTGGTTTTATCACTCTGTCTCTCAGATACCTGCATTACCGAATATAACAGCTGAGATAAGTCTTGATTTACTGGCAAATTATCGGTTGATGCAAAAAGAATGTTTATACAACATATGTAGAGAATCTATAAAACAAAACAAAGTTACAAGATTGTAAATGATTTGGGTTTTCATGTGAAAGTCATAATTGTCATTACATGCACTTGAAGAACGATTAATTTAATCGAGAATTCCGTTCATGACACTTTACGAGTTGCCAAGAGGAGGCAAATTGCAGCTTTGTGGATCAGTTGTCAATGTATCTGTTGATGTCGCACCGACTGCAGTCTCTGCCACGATTTTATGATCAAGCTGCAACAATATCCATGAGGTTAAAAAGAAAGCGAGCATACAAGACAGCTGTAATAAAACAGAATGTGAGGCCTATGGCAGTTCTTTGTGCTTTACATTATCTGATGCAAACAGATCTGTATAAAAATGCAAACATTAATATCGATGAAAACTGTTGGTTACAAAAAATCAATGAAATTCAAAATACAACTAACCCAAGATAGCGATGTTGTAGGTAACCAAGATAGAATGTTGGATGAGGAAAACATTGATAGATACAAAACATTAACATTTGCACCAGGTGAAGGTCAGACTCCATTAAGCTTATTTCAAGATAAGGATGCTGAGGTTTTATCGTTTCCGACAATATACAGTGGTGAAAGGCGCAAATGTGATGAAAGCATGGTTAAACTGCACTATAGTAATATTTGTAAATGGGAACTTCGTGCCGAAGATTGTAGAGTGGCAAACAATGTACCTAATCTATTTTTCAAAGCTAAAAAGTTTCAGATTAAGCAAGTTGCAGACAAAGGAACTCTTGTTATGAAAAGAGTACAGAGTACGGGCAAAACATATACTGCTGATCAGATGCTCAATGAAAATACACGAAATGATATAGCAAAGCTCAATGAAGGTTACAACATTTTCCGCACAATAAGAAATTCTCCACCATATTTGGATCACTGTAGAAAGATATTATGGTATGCATAAGCCAGCTTGGTTTTACAACATGGTTTATGTCATTGTCTGCTGCAGATACAAAGTGGAATGATTTAATTATAATGTTAGGAAAGTTGATTGACAAGAAAGATTACACAAACAATTTATTGGAACAAAAGCTAACATGGAATACTGTTACAAGGCTTGTTAGCTCTGACCCAGTCACATGTGCTAGATACTTCAATGAAAGGGTGCAGCAGTTCATTGAAATTGTACTGAAAAGTCCACACAGTCTTCTAGGAACAATTCAAGACTATATATACAGAGTGGAATTTCAGCACAGAAGATCTCCTCATATACATGTACATATGCTAGCATGGGTCCGTTATATGGCTCAGATGAAAACTATGTTGACAACTCCCAAGGTGTTGCCTCACATCATGGATGTCAACTACCAAGGTGTCATCTCGCATCGTGGATGTCAACTACCAAGGTGTCACCTCACATCGTGGATGTCAACTACCAAGGTGTCACCTCACATCGTGGATGTCAACTCCCAAGGTGCCATCTCACATCGTGGATGTCAACTCCCAAGGTGTCATCTCACATTGTGGATGTCAACTACCAAGGTGTCACCTCACATTGTGGATGTCAACTATCAAGGTGTCACCTCACATCGTGGATGTCAACTACCAAGGTGTCACCTCACATTGTGGATGTCAACTACCAAGGTGTCATCTCACATCGTGGATGTCAACTCCCAAGGTGCCATCTCACATCATGGATGTCAACTACCAAGATGTCACCTCACATCGTGGATGTCAACTACCAAGGTGTCACCTCACATTGTGGATGTCAACTATCAAGGTGTCACCTCACATCGTGGATGTCAACTACCAAGGTGTCACCTCACATTGTGGATGTCAACTACCAAGGTGTCACCTCACATTGTGGATGTCAACTACCAAGGTGTCACCTCACATCATGGATGTCAACTACCAAGATGTCACCTCACATCGTGGATGTCAACTACCAAGGTGTCACTTCACATCGTGGATGTCAACTACCAAGGTGTCACCTCACATCGTGGATGTCAACTACCAAGGTGTCACCTCACATCATGGATGTCAACTACCAAGATGTCACCTCACATCGTGGATGTCAACTACCAAGATGTCACCTCACATCGTGGATGTCAACTACCAAGGTGTCACCTCACATCGTGGATGTCAACTACCAAGGTGTCACCTCACATCATGGATGTCAACTACCAAGGTGTCACCTCACATCGTGGATGTCAACTACCAAGGTGTCACCTCACATCGTGGATGTCAACTACCAAAGTGTCACCTGGCATCATGGATGTCATATGTGATAAATACTATTATCATAATTTTCAAGTTTTAAAATTAAAACATAAGTAATGAACAACTTCAAGAATATATATATTTCTCTGTGAATATTCCAATTATTTTTAAAATAGAACTTTAGTTCTATACAAGTATTAAATTGATAATACAATATTATTTTTATAATTATTGGTTCTAAAAAGTACATCCTAGTCTGCTAAACTGAATAAAATAACCTACATTTTATTCCACAACATGATAAGGCTCGTTCGTGTCATCAATGTTGTAAAAATCTCCTTTGTTCATGAGCAACTACATTTTCATATGCCTTTGTATTGATGCTTTTACACTTGAAAATGTACCTTTTGTTTATTTCATGATGATATTTTAAATTTTTTTTTTTTGGTGAATATTTTTGTTATTTTAAAACAGTTAAATACTGCAAGTCTGATTGCTTTGATACTATACATATAGGTACCTCAGGTAGACTTTGCTCAGATTTGTTCATTTCCTAATGATATCTTCTTTAATTGAAATGTGCATTGCTAACAGAAATTTAATACAAACATCAGACATATGCCCTTGATGTACCCGGTGTGTCATTTTGTTTCTTAGATCAGATTAAAAATGGTCATTTGGTACCCATTTTGTTTTAAACAATTTTGTTCCAACATTGTTTGTATAAACATCATAGAGCACATATGCACATGTATTCATTTGACAACTCAATTTAAGATGGCCTCAATGGTGACCATTTTGATGTTAAAATTTCATCAAAATAAAGGTCTGGATTTCTGTTATGTATGGATGTTTTGTTCAAACTAGTTACGAACATTAAACATAAATGGGCCCTCGATGCATGTCTGTTTTTAGGATCAGATTCTAAATGGCTGACTAATGCAGTTTCAGAACTATACATGTATCTCTGACATATCCTGACCGATCATGTTCAAACTTTACATATACCATTGTACATCATGTCACACATGTGCATATTTATTCATTTGGTTATCCAGCTCATGATGGCCAGATGGCGGTCATTTTGAACTGCAACTTGAACTGCACTTTGATTGTCAGCAGACTTGTATCACTTGACATTTTCTAACTATATATATTTTATAAAATTCATCACAGGACTATGTAATGCAATTAGTGTATTGTAGGAATATTGAACTTATACTTTGTTTTCTTTCTTTGTTTTAGGCAACAAAGCCCATGAAAAAAAGGTAAAGTTAAAAACCATACTCTCCTTAAAAATATGATTGGCATTGTAATGTACAATGTATGCAGTGAATGGATAATAGCCACATGTACATGATGGCATTGTAATGTACAATGTATGTAGTGAATGGATAGTAGCCACATGTACATGATAGCATTGTAATGTACAATGTATGCAGTGAATGGATAATAGCCACATGTACATGATAGCATTGTAATGTACAATGTGTGAAATGGATGGATAATAGCCACATGTACATGATAGCATTGTAATGTACAATGTATGTAGTGAATGGATAATAGCCACATGTACATGATAGCATTGTAATGTACAA